TAACCCGACTTGCTTGGCCAATTCTGCACTCTCTCGGTCTTGGCAGCCTTGTTCAGCTGTTCCAGTTTTGCGCCTCTTCCTTCCAGGAAAAAAACATGTATCAACGGTAATTCTCTAGAGATGGACGTGGTCTGTGCCAGAGCTTGCAGAGGGCCGCGAAGGATTCGTTCTCCCCCGACCAATGTTGCGCGAGCGTGCCCCCTGACGGCCGCAGAAGCATTCCGATGTACTCGAGCATAGAACTCCCTGGCAACTGCCGGGCGACACTGGGCTTCACCGCCCAACTCAGCGACAGCGTCTTCTGAAGAATAAAGCCAGTTATGCACTATGGCAATCGAATGGAGGTTTCTTGTTACCGAATACCGTTCCAAATCCAACGTCTCTGTTACACCTGTGGGCACACATGCTTGCAGTCTCGGCGACAAGACGGGCGAAAGCTCAGACATTGCCTGTTCCTTTGGCCTTACCACTAATAATCCTTGAGCCAAAGTCGCCCTTAGGCCTCTGAGCCGAAACCCTCCGGAGAAGGAAGCGGAAGCCCAAGCGCCGCTCGCTGTCCTACGCGGCCCCCCTGGGATTATTCACTCGCCCCCTCATCCAAATCCGCGCCTGCACGCCTTACACAGCACTCGGAGGTACAATGAGAAATGTGGATGCCACCGGCCCTGCCTACCACAAGCCTCCATCCAATCTGTTCATAGTGATGCCGATGAAAAAACATGTTTACCCCTGACACGGTGGATCATGATTCAGGGGCGCGCAGCGGTACAGGCTGTCTCGAGCCAGCCGAACATCTCACGCACTTATTAACTTGGAAAGAGTGCCCCGACGGAATCAGTCAGAAATCCGCTGGCACGCTTGTGGGGCCACCATGGTAAAGGCGGGCAGGGAAGTGTTCTCTTACTGGAGTAAGCATCCGGCCCCACAGTGATATTCTGTGTTTGCGTCGTGTGTCGAGGAGGCGAGGGTGAAAAAGAAGCCGTCATGAACAACAGCGATTTTCCACTGGGTCTGTACGTAGGGCTATATTTCAGCATCGGATCGGGAAATCGACGCGGATCGGAACGTGCATCGAATTGGGCCGCATCGCCACGGAATCGGAATCGAATCGGATCGGCTGCGCCATGATGCACACCAACGCCGTTTAAGCACCGGCCCCCATCGGATCACCGGAAAATCGGAATCGAATCCGATCGAGCCGGCTGGAATCGATATCGATCGGATCGATCGGATCGAAAGCTCCCAGAAAACCCGCAGCGGAACCCCGTTCGGGCTATTCGGGCGATTCAGGTCAGCCCACTTTTCGGACACGCCTGGCCGAAGCAACGCAACAACCATCTGACCCCTTTGTTTCCAATCTTGAAAGGAGAATGCTGCGCTTGCGCGCTTGCTGAAATCTTAGCAGAAACAAACAGGTTTTGATGCTTTGGAGCATGGCCACTTGCGCGCGCACGCCAAAACCGTTCAACCACCATCGCGCGCCTACCAACTCAGTCAAACAAGAATATGCAAACCACACGCGCACACTTCCGCATGCGCACATCGAGATCATGTTAAGATGCCTCGATACCTCCGGGCGCGCCCTTTTTCATCCTCACCGGCGCAAGTGCTATCGTCGTCGTCGGCGTCATCACTGTCATCGCCATCATCATCAACACCATCATCTGCATTGTCGTCACCATCATCGGATCATCGCCACGGTCGTCATCGTCATCTTCATGAAATGGCGCCCGCCCGTGCCACCGACCCGCACTGAAGTGCCCGCGTGCCAACGCAGCCTCTGAGAAACGCTGGAATTTCTTACCGGTAAGCGCAATCGCGGCCGCATCACTTGCTTGGTTGTGCCAAGCAAGGTGGCCGATCTGCGCAAATGCGGGCACCAGGTCGGCTGCAGATATGCAACCGCAATTTCCAATCGGTAACAACAAGCATAGCCGAGCGGGTTTTGCGAGACAAGTCGCGGCTGGAAGGGTGCGATGTTTGCGTGAGCGTTGGAGATGATAACTGCAGGTTCGACTGGTGAATTGCACCACGTAGCTTTCACCTCTCTATCGTGCGACGTAGCTTGCACCGAAGGCATTGTACCACACAGATTGCAAAGCACACGTTGCACGCCATAGATTGCAGAATATAGATGGCGCGTTCCATAGCCTCTGCCACCGTACACTGAGGCATGGGTTGGACTTAGAAAGTCCAGGGCTCGCTAAGGACTGGTTTCCTGCAAAAGCAACCGAAACCCTCCCGAAGCCCTCCGAAAATCCTCCGGACGAGTTTCGGGGAGGCTCTTCGGAGGGTTTCGGGAGGGTTTTGAAGGGCTTGTTTCTGTGATTTGCGGGGGAACCAGTCCCTAACGAACCCTAGGCTGTCGAAGGACGGACGGTCCTCAAGTCCTTACCCATCGGTCGGAAAAAGTAGGTAGAAACATGAAGTAGGAAGGCGTTGGAAATAGATTGGGTTTCCGCACGCCTCCTGAAGAGGGAGGAAAGGGGAAAACCACTCGACTCTTGAAGTAGGAAGGCGCTGAAAGTAGATTAGAATCGGGGGATCCAAAAATACCTACTTTCAGCGACCGATGGGTAGTCCTCCGTCCTCAATCCTGAGGATCCCTTGAAATGGCCCGCAGCCGGGAGGTCTGGACACTTCTGGGCGCCTGCGGCGCTCCTAGGTCTCGGCGCTCGTTGCAATCCTTCGCTCCTAGGGTTTTTTTGCAATCAGTCGCAGGGTTTTTTTGCAATCCTTCGTTCAGGGTTTGTTTTGCAATCCTTCGCGCAGGTTTTTTTGCAATCCTTCGTTCAATTTTTTTTGCAATCCTTCGTTTTTTTGCAATCCTTCGATCTCTTCTGGGGCCAAGAGGGCCCCAAGATAGGTCAAGCGGGCCCGAGCAGCCTCTCGAACCGGGCCAAGAGGCCTCTGAATCGGCTCAAAAGGCGCTCAAAGACACCCAAGGCGGCCTCGAGACGACCCACGGGGCCCTCAAGGCCTCCCAAGAGTGCTCCAGGAAGCACCCCTAGAGGGTCCCAAGAAGGCAAAATCATTGTTGTTCTAGTGGTCACTGACAGATGTTCAAAGTCTCGCTTTTTCGCGCTGTCGACGCTCCAAGCCGTCCCAAGAGGCCTCCAAGAATGCCCCCAGAAACCCCAGAGGGCCCCAAGACTGCCCAAGAGGCCCCCAACACGGCGCACGGGGCCCAAGAGAGACCCCTGAGGGGGAACACGATCCGACATTTCGAGCCCGTCGCCCCAAGACGACCTCCGAGACTACCAGCAGCCCCCCCGAAGCCCCAGGAAGCTCCAGGAGGCCCCCAAATCAAACCCCAAGAGGCCCCGAACATGCCCCCAAGAAGCGCCGCCAAAAGCATTCCCCAAACCGCCTCCACGATGCTTCCGAGAGGCCTCCCAAGAGGTCCCCTCAAGCATCCCAAAGCCTCTGACCTACAACCAAAGCGCGGTGGCGGGATGGACCGACGGCCACTAGATCGCTTTAACCATATAGACAGTATCGCGTATATGGCACCCCAATGACTGCACCGCATAGCTTGCAACACCACATAACTTGCACCATGTGGCCAGCGCCAAATACGGCACACACGACAGCGCACCACAAAGTGTGCACATCGATAATGCAAAAAAACACACTGTGTGCGGTCCACGCTGGCAAACACCTATCAGTACCATGCCAGTAGTTCTGCTGCTGCAACAGAAGCCAGCAAGCCGTAGCGATGCCTCACCTGCTCCCTCGTGCCGAAAACGGCGAGCGTAACGCCAGGGGGCGGCGACGGAAGCGCCGCCAGGGGGTGCCCAGCGCTGGCCCAAGAAGTCCACCAGACACCTCCGACGCTTTATGCTCATGCCTGTGTAGTTGCTTGTCCTTCGAGCCAGGATCTGTTTCCAGGGGGTGTCTTTGGCGGCTAAGACGTCATCGACGGAGGAGTGGGAGGCCTGTGCCAAGATTATCCCCATTCTCCTGACTCTGCCCTCGGGGTCCTGTAGGCTACTCTAACTGGCATAGAGATCAACGGGTAGATGGCTGGCCTTCTAACTGAGCATGCCCATTCCCCCCCTCCCTCCTCCTCTCCCCCCTCCTCATCCTCTTCCCCCTCCTCCTCTTCCACCCCCCTCCCGTCCACCCTTTCAGGCAGCACGTGCCCAACGACCCCAGCGGATCCAAGGGTGTGTGGGGGGGGGCGATTATTGTCTTATCTAGAGTCTCCGTCTCGTTCGCCCCCACTTCTCTGGACGTTGATGCTCATACACGTCTTAGCACCGTTAGGTTCCCTCGGGGCCCTGCAAGCTATATCCTCGGGGTCCTGCAGGCTACCAACTCCACTCGCCCCCATCTCTCTGAACACTGATGCTTCTATACATGTCATTGCTGTTCGGTTCCCTCGGGGTCCTGTCGGGTATTTCGTGAGTGTCCTGCAGGCAATCCACCTCCTCCGTCCGCATCTCTCCGACGGTGGTTCTTCGATGCGTCCTATTACTGGTCGGTTCGGATGCGTTTCCTTAAATTCTGGGCTGCGACATTTGGCCACAGGGTGGGGAACATGGGCCTGGGTCTGGACCGGTGCTTCGTCGATCTGCTGCTACCAGTCGCGCACGCAAACGGGGGGAGGGGTCCTGACCCATCGCCAGAGACCAGCCGCCCGAAGCAGCCAAGATCTGGTCCAGGGGGAGCGGCGGCGGTACCCCGCGCCGATCGGCGAAGTCATGAAGGGACGGCGACCTTGGGGAAATCAGAGGGTACCGATACCGCTCCTCCCCCGACCTCTCCCGGGGTGCCTGCTGACCAAGATTTCGAAGCGAATCCAGCGGTGGCGACGAGGGTCCCCCCCCGGGAGGCCCAGAAGGCGGAAAACGAGCCGGGCGTAGCGGTGCGGGTTCCTCTCCCTCCTCTCTGAGACTTCTCTCTTTCCCGCGCCCTCTGGTGCTGCTTCCGGGGCCGCCTGGCAGAAACTGGGCCTCAGCGTGCCATCCACGCGCCGGTACGCAGGGTTGGCGCGCTCACCTCCGTGGGCCTGCGCCAGCGCCGACCTGCCGCACGTCGTCGTCGTCCTCCTCCTCCTCCTCCTCCTTCTCGTCGTCGTCGTCTCTCGCTCGCTCTCGCTTTTGCTCTCTGTCGCCATCTCTGTGGTCTCTCTCTCTCTCTCGCTCTCTCTCTCTCTCGCTCTCTCTCTCTCTACCTGTCTCACTGTCCCTTTTTCTTTCTATGGTTCTCTCTCTCTCTCTGTCTCTCTCTTTATCTTTCTCTATCATTCCCTAAAATGTGTGTTCTCTCTATATGTATGTATGTATATATATATAGATATCTCTCTCTCTCTTTCTTCTCTCTCGCACGCATCCCGAAGAAATATTCGGCCGCATCGGAACGTCGGAAAATCGGATGCGAGTCGGATCGGGCCGGCCAGAATCAGTGCCGAATCCTGCAGGGTGGCTGAGGAGACCCAGGTGCTCCTGGTCAGACCGCGAAGAGGAGGCAGTTATCTTCGCCCCAGCTTCGGGTGACTTGCGCTCGTCGCGCTTCCAGACGGAACGCGGGACGAGGAGCGAATTGGCTTTTATGGGCCTGCGAGCCTCGGTCACGAATAGGTTCCGCAACCCAGATCCGAGGAGCGGCCCGAAAACCAAGGCACCTCCTGAACCCGAGTGGTTACTGCTTCACCGCGTGAACTATACTCTCGGCTGGGTCCGTCCGATGGACTGTAGCCTCGACCTGCTGGGAATATTGCTCGGAATCTGGACACACGCACCCCTCGTCGTCGCCGTGCCCGTCTCCTTCCGGTTCTCCTGCCCCGCCCCCCCCTTCCTCGTTCTCCCCCCCCCGCCCCCCTCCCGAACTCCTTCCTATTCTCCGTCCCCTTCTCCGTCTCCTTCCCGTTCTCCTGCTCCGCCCCCCTTTCGTTCAGACGACAGCAGGACGAGGATAAAATCGGGCGACAATAAATCGAGAATCACTGAGGTCCGGCGGTTCTGGAGGATGTATCGAGCGCCGCGGCCTTCTCAGAGCGCTCCGAACCCTCTGAGAGCGTTCCGGAGCGCTCTTGAACAGATGTATCCTCGTCCGAGCCCCGTCCGATTTGTCGGGGCCGTACCTGGCGCCGTCTACAGCCGCCACGGCCACCGTCGTCGTCACCATCGCCACTGTCGTCGCCAATGCCGTCCTCGTCGTCGGAGTCCCAACCACGTGCGGTGGCCAACCACGGCGACGATGACCCACGACGACGACATGACAATCCACTGCGACGACCCACAGCGATCCACGATGAAGACGACGCACGCCGAGCCGAGACGACCACGATCCCACAACGACACACGACGCCGACGTCCCTGAGGCAGGTCCCCCGAGGTACACCAGGCGACCAGAAGCCGGCAGAGGCCCAGGCAGGTAACAAGAGCCGCCCGTAACCCTCTCGACCAGGAATCAAGCTGAGCAGTGTTTGTCTTTTTCGCTTCGTTTTCGCTCCCCCTCGTCTTGTCTTCGTTCTGCCTCTGCCGCAGAGCGGAATCAGAGCGAAAACGATCCACATAATCGCCAAGACACCGTTCAGCTTGAGCCCTACCCTCGACCTCGATGCTCGCACATCGACCGATCCTGGAGAACGGCTGCTCCCGCCCTCCTGGCGGAGGAGACCAACAAAATATCGATGCCGCTGCTCCCTAGACCTCTCCCTGGGTGCGTGCCGACCAGGGTTCCGAGGCGAATCCAGCGGTGGCAACGAGGGCCCCCCAAGAGGTCCAGGAGGAGGGAACGAGGCGGGGGTAGCAGCATGGGTACCTCCTCCTCCTCCGATAGGCCGCGAGAAGATCGCGACCCAGAGCTCTTCCTGGCGCTGCCGCGCGCAGGAGCCCCCGAGAGGCCCAGCAAAAGAAGAGACGGCGCAGGATTGCAAAAAAACCTCCTCGGACTAAGGATTGCAAAAAACCCTCCTCGAACGAAGGATTGCAAACTTATCCCGGCAAAGCAACCTAACAGCGATGTGTAGGAGCATATCTGGAAGCATTCCCCTTAAGATTCAGATGAGAATCCAGTTGTAGAATTCTGCTGTTCTCGCAGTCGTAGTCGCATTCGCGATGACAGTCGCAGTGGCCTGCATCAGCCTCAGCCTCAGCCTCAGCCTGCCTCAGCATCAGCCTCAGCCTCAGCCTCAGCCTCAGCCTGCCTCAGCCTCAGCCTCAGCCTGCTTCAGCCTCAGTCTCAGTCTGCCTCAGCCTCGGCCTCAGCCTCAGCCTCAGCCTGCCTCAGCCTCAGCCTCAGCCTCAGCCTCAGCCTCAGCCTGCCTCAGCCTCAGCCTCAGCCTGCTTCAGCCTCAGCCTCAGCCTCAGCCTCAGCCTCAGCCTCAGCCTCAGCCTCAGCCTCAGCCTCAGCCTCAGCCTCAGCCTGCCTCAGCCTCTGCCTCAGCCTCAGCCTCAGCCTCAGCCTCAGCCTCAGCCTCAGCCCTCAGCCTCAGCCTCAGCCTGCCTCAGCCTCAGCCTCAGCCTCAGCCTCAGCCTCAGCCTCAGCCTCAGCCTGCTTCAGCCTCAGCCTCAGTCTGCCTTCAGCCTCGGCCTCAGCCTCAGCCTGCCTCAGCCTCAGCCTCAGCCTTCAGCCTGCCTCAGCCTCCTCCTCAGCCTCAGCCTCAGCCTCAGCCTCAGCCTCAGCCTCAGCCTGCAGCCTCAGCCAGCCCTCAGCATTCAAAATGTGGCCCGGGAATGAAATTCTGGGAACTCGAAGACCACAAAGTGGCCTACAGTTGGCTCCGGGCATTCAAAATCATGCCCAGGAATGGAGTTCTGGGAACTCGAAGACCACGAAGTGGCCTACAGTTGGCTCCGGGCATTCAAAAATGCCCAGGAATGGAGTTCTGGGAACTCGAAGACCACGAAGTGGCCTACAGTTGGCTCCGGGCATTCAAAATGTGGCCCGGGAGTGGAGTTCTGGGAAGTCGAAGAGCACGAAGTGGCCTACAGTTGGCTCCGGGCATTCAGAATGTGGCCCAGGAATGGAGTTCTGGGAGGTCGAAGAGCACGAAGTGTGTGAGTGTTTGCGAAAAACGAGTTCGGACACGAGTTCGAACACAGCTCCCCGGATGCCGCCCCGACCCCCCTGTGGAGTCATCTGCTGCTCTCTTTTGACCCCACTAGAAACCTATCAGCAAAAGCTGTTAGGTAAAAAACCCTCGAACGAAGGATTGCAAACAAAAACCTTCGAACGAAGGGTTTTTTTGCAATCCTTCGAACGAAGGGTGTCGGAAATGCGCCTCCTCGGACTGGCGGGGAACACCGATCCTCGATCGCGCGGCGTCGTCGGGAGGCCCGTGCGGGGCGAGAGGCGCGCGGCGCTGCCGGTGAGCCCGCTCCGCCCCTGCAGGGTAAAGGCGCGGAGGCCTCCTGCACCAGACCAAAGGGAACCTTGACGAGTCGCGTGGGCGCAACTGGAACGTACAACCGGCCTGAGGTATAAGATTGAGATTGGTTCGGGGAGGGTGCCCTGACGTTCTTCGTGTTTGTGGGATGTTCTTGTGCATTCTGGGGAAAGGCCCCCTCGAATGTTCTTCTGGTTCGGGCCGGCGGAGTGTCTCGTGTTCTTGACGGGTGTTCTTCTGACCTGAGTCCGAACGTAGTGCAAGAACAGACTACCTACCAGACCACCCACACCGAGCCCAGAGACCCACATTTCGTTTTTTTTGGGGGGGCGGGGTACGGGTTCCACACGTTTTTGTATTCGACGCTTCACCCCGTGAGGTGGCTTGGTGGGTGGTGAAGATTGGAGAGGGCAGCACCTCCAGAGATCCGATGTGCTAATTTTACGAACGGGGAGCGCTCATGTCCTGGTAGTAACGTCTAATGCAAGGTGACGAGAAACAAAGCCTGAGGGGAGGGGGAACGATTACACCAATCATTTCTGACTCTAACTGGCAAACTTCGGGAAACGATACCGCCCGACTGAGCAACTTGAGCACGAGGGCGATCGACATGGTAATTGGAACACAACGCCGCCCGAATGAGCACTTGAGCACGGAGACGGCCAAGGCGGCAATTTGAACACAAACCCGCCCGAATTGAGCCACGGAGACGGCCGACGCTGCATCATCAACACACGACCGCCCGACCGAGCAATTTGAGCAAGAAGACGGCCGAAGCGGCAATCCCACCAGCCCTCTGCGCGTCGGTGGTTTAGAGAGTTTCCTCTTCCACCCTCCTTCTTCCCCTTCGGGGAGGGGTCTACCCCTCCCCCTAACCCCTCCCCGCCGACCTGGACAAAGGGTTTTCGCGAGGTGTCAGGACGTCCAAAACGGCCTCGGCGAGGAAGCCAACATCATTGATTTTGACTACGGTTCTGGCCTCATGTTGGCCTCCTGGAGGGGCGACTGTAATCTGTAATCTCCCCTCCTGTGATCGATCTCCTCCTAGATGGCCCCAAGAAACGTCCAGGAGGCCCTAAGAGGTCCCAAGATGGCTCCAAAATGGCCCCCCAAAGCCCCCAAGAGGCCCCCAGGAGGCCCCCAAGAGACCCCCAAAAGGCCCCAAGAGACCCCCAGAGCCACCCAAGATGTTCCAAGAGGCATCGGCGAGAATGAATGCCAAAGCATTGATTTCACGCAGGTTGTAGCCACATGTTGGCCTCTTGGGGGGGGGCACTGATTAAGATGACTCCGAGAGCGCCTAGGAGAGCCCCAAATGACCTCCAAGATGGCTCAAGATATCCCAAGATGTCTTATAATGGCTTCCTCTGTGTGCTGCCCACTTGCCTCATCGAGGCAATTCCTCTGGGCATCGTTTCTGGATGGGCTGGTGGGGATTATATTTTTGGTCGCGGGCGGACGCGAAATCGCAGTCGCCGCGCTGAAAACGCTGGTGGGGATTTTTTTTTTGGTCGCGGCCGCGAGACGACGGTCAGGCGGTAAGAGCAACGTCCAAGACGCGAACTAGCCTAATTAGCTACAACAAGCACAGGCCGGCCAGCCCACTCACACAGCAGCCGCGACGCTGAAAGGGGGAGCTGACGGCGGACGGCATCCTGAGAGCTCGAGCACGTGCACAGGACAAAGTGTCTC